ATATATGTAGTTATTGTGTTCTTAATGTTTGTGGTATTTCTTAAAGCTAAGCAGTGTTATATGCGTAGCAAAGAATTTTAAAATAAAATTGTGTTGTATGAATTAAGAGTGTAATCACTGTGAAATCATGCAATCAACTAACTACTCCCCCAGCCAGTGCATCAAAACGAATCAGTAAATTGTGTGGGATCTTCTTTATTCCATAACCCACTAGAGACATGTGCTTAGGTCCATAACAGAGATATTCTGCATCTTACCTGTAGATGCCAGGTTGAGGACAGAGTTGCCAACTGCCAGGACAGGGTTCAGATCCCAAGTTGATCCTCTACTAACAATGTGTCCCCCTAAGGACTTTCACAGAGAGAGGTGATTTTTATGGTTCTCTTTTCCATACAGAGTCATGGCTGTCACAACCAAATTAAGTAGTGCCCATGTCACAAGCAAGTAAAACCATTCAAAACAGTTTTTTTTTCTGCACTAGGTTAACTAAGGGTTAACAATAATGATAGTAACCGCTTTTTTGCTGCGCATGTCAAAAAGAAATTTATAACTGCGACACCAACATGAAATAGAACTTAGCCTTCTGTACTGTACATAAATCATTATAATTGGTCAAAGAAAACAGGGAGTAACCCTGTGAGATAATACCCTAGCGAAGACCGCTAGATAATTGGCGATTCTAATTACATTTATGACGTGGCAAAAAGCAATTGGCTAGTACACAAACAAAACCCCAATACACTTCCGCAAAGAAGAAGAAGAAGGGGAGACCTCCGCACACGCAACCTGGAGACCTCTGAACGTATGCGTCAGAGTAACTGACAATTTGATCACTTGTCAGTTCCCTGTGTCTCGACCCAATCTCAGACATAAATCAACGACCTGCCGGCCCGACCTTTTCTCTGCCCCACCACCGAACTCTTATGCAGACTGACCTACGACCTATAAGCTGTAACTAACCAAGTATTTCTAACCTCCGTCCTTCACCACCTTGACGGCGCGAGTAAATAATCTTGCTTTGCAACCGATAAGCGTCCGTCTAATTAATTCCACTCCAAGTGTCACAAGTACCCGCCTGATGGACCCTTAACTGCCTGGGTGGGAGTCAGGGAGAGCTGCTGGCCGGCTGCCCTGGGTCCCGACAATGGCCTTTAACATGACCCCACTTTCACAGATATTAGGAATTTAAGGGCCCTTCTTTCAGTTTATAGAGTTGGAACTGGCTTGTTCAGTCTTGAGTCAAGTTCCTTATTTCCCTGTTGTCTTAATTTACAATTCATGAAAGATCTTGTTCAATTTGGCCTTAGCTGAGTGGGTCCTGGGTAGATGCTCTGCCCAGGAGATGCTCTGTGCAAGAGAAGAGAAATGGCTGCTCCACCAGTGTAAGTGGAGGGCCACAAGGAACTGGGACAAGGAAATTTTAAAGAAAATGTGGAGGGCAGTACCAGAGCTGCCTGGTGAAAGATTCTGGAGAACTAAACACCTAGGTGTTCACAGAACATGTAGAGAAAAGGAAGCTCCAGGGCAAATACTGCCATATCTATTCATCTACAACCCATTCTGGTGGGAGAAAGATACCCATTAAAGCTTTGGCTTCTATGCCAACATGGTTATAAATTGCAGCCCTCAATGCCCTGGACACCTTCCCCTGACACCAGATTGACATTCCCACTTTATTTTACATAAATGGGTTGCAGTCCTTACCAATGCAGGCTGCATTCAACCTGGCTACAGGCATGGGAAACTGGCAACTGACTCAGATTCATGGCCAAGCCCCAGGCCCACCCGCCTCTAAATGAGCTTTATAGGTTTACAAGTGAATGGCACACAGATGTGCTTGTAGTGTTTGCCTGTTGATTGTCATCAATGGAAACATACAGCCAGACTCCTGATCTGTTCACCAGCTAGAGTTCTCAGCTGCTGCAAGAGAGCATAGAAGATCTTTGTCTTCTCCTCTGGGAGCCCCGAGACTGCTTTCATCAGGATGTCTCTGAGCTGAGCCAGTCGGCAGGCAGCTCCTATCATTAGTCCTGGAAAAAAAATATTTGAAGCAGGTAAATGAGAGCATCACACTTCAGGTGTTCTCAATTCTGCAACTGGTCCATGTGAACACTAACTTTGTAGTCAACTTTCCTGAAGATAGAAGTGAGGAAAAATGAAAACAGAGGTGCATTATGTGTCTGTGCCTATCTCAGGCAAATATCATTAATTGGCTTAGTGGGTTTTTTCAGTAAATGCATATACACAAAAATTATTATACTATGTGCACACACATCTGCACCAATTAACAGGGTAAAATCCCTTGAACCAGATGCTGAGGTCCTTATTCAAACAAATTCCCATTGGCATTAATAGGAGTTTGACTGTGTGGCAGGGCACTGTGTGTGCCTGCCACTTTAAGGGCCTGGAGCTGGCAGCCACCAGGGGCCTGACGAGGGCAGCCATTTTGGAGGG